AAAAAAAAAAAAAAAGCACAAAGAAAAATCTAGGCTTACACAGATATGTAGTTGGTAAAAGAAGGAATATTATTTAAATAGCCTTTTCAGGTAAATTAATCTTTTTTTTCTCTCTCTCTCAAGGCAAGATCTCACTGTCACACAGGCTGGGGTATAGTGGTGCCATCTCAGTTCACTGTAGCCTCCGCCTTCCGAGTAACTGAGGCTCCAGGCATATGCCACCGCACATGGGCAATTTGTATTTTTTGTAAAGGCAAGGTTTTGCCATGTTGCCCAGGCTGGTTGTGAGCTCCTGACGTCAAGCAGTCCACTCTCTGCAGCCTCCCAAAGTGTTAGGATTACAGGCGTAAGCCACTGTACCCAGCCTGAATCTTCTGATACTATACAGGAACTCAGCAAGTGCTAGTTTCTTTGTTGGGGTATGGAATCTGAAATTGTATTTATGAACCTGTTGGTCTTTCTGGAACTTCAAATGGATTTTTTACCCATGCCTGATCTATAACATGCATTGGTAACTTGAAAAAATGTTCACTGTGTTTTGCAGATCTCCAAATATTGACACATTTCATCATACAGTACTCCTTCCCCCTCAAAAAACCATCACATTAGTTAATATTACTACCCATCTCATCATGTCTTTAATTAATGGGCTTATAAATGTCAAATGTTTTTCAAAATTGTAATTTTTACATAAAACCCAACTTTTTCATTGGAAGAGATACTGTCATTTGTTTCTTTGAAATAACAAGTTCATTTTTTTTTTTTTTTCAAGAAGATGTCTGTCAGGTAGCTAAGTCTGAATAGCCATAGTTTATCATTTGTTCTTTCAGAAAGTAAAAATGGTGTTTCATGAAAAAAGCAGCTGGTTCAGCCTGTAGCTCATCACTTAAGTGCTTTTTCTCCAGAGAACATCTGCTGGTATGAAGAAGTGCTTTGTGTGTACTGCCTATTTCGTCACACAAAATACTAAAAGGATGTATACAGGCTTAAGATTTAATAAAATGAATAATTTTTACTGCTAAATCAAGAACATTTTAAAATGGAACTGGTACTCTAACCCCAATGTGGGTGGTGATGAAGAATACAATTCAGTGCCTCTTATAGCTTTGCTTGATGCCTTCTAAGGCTTCGGCAATGTCCACCTGCCATTGCTTTAAATGTCTACACGGTGCAAAAAGCAAATAATATCTTAGTGTTATAGTTTTGATTTCACAGATGCCCTGAAAGAGGGACATCCACGTTTCTGCCCACCACATTGTGAGAATTGATGATTCTAGATAATACAAAGTTGCTTTGATTACTGTTCTGGTGGTTTAAAAACAAAAGAACCTCATTTAGTTTTAAACCTAGAAGAGTGAATCGCAACTCTCATCTTTTGCTTTTATCTGTGATTTTTAAAACTGTAATCTTGCCTTTGAAATAGAAAAATATGCCCATTCATAATAAAGTCTGCATGAGAGTATATGTTTGAATTTCTATTTCTGTGCTTCTTTCTTTTATATAGCATACCATTTTATATTTGTGGGCCCAGAGTAAAGAGCTCTTTCTATTACAGACACTGAATAGCTTTGTTTTTGTCAGTAGTCAGCTCTGTTTTAAAACAATCGGTTGGGTCCTGCTGGCTCAACTTGCAGTTGTCCTAGTCCTAAATCTGTCTTAGCCAAAGACTGTTATTGGAAAGCCCACACAAAGGCCTTGTGTATAGGGTGCCCTACTATTAAAGGAGCATGTTCTAGTCTCAGCGGATTAAATTTGCTTTGGTGTGCATTCCCTTACCAAATTTCTCACTTCCTTTGTTTGGCTAGTTATTTCACTGAAAGATCATTTTAATGTGAAGACAGGTTCTTCTAATTATTATATAGTCCTAGTCGTGATGATTATTGGAGTAAAATTTTTTTTCTCTCTGGTAGGATGTGATGGAGCTGCTTGAAGAAGATCTCACGTGCCCTATTTGTTGTAGTCTGTTTGATGATCCTCGGGTTTTGCCTTGCTCCCACAACTTCTGCAAAAAATGCTTGGAAGGTATCTTAGAGGGGAGTGTGCGGAATTCCTTGTGGAGACCAGCTCCATTCAAGTGTCCTACATGTCGTAAGGAAACTTCAGCTACTGGAATTAATAGCCTGCAGGTTAATTACTCCCTGAAGGGTATTGTGGAAAAGTATAACAAGATCAAGATCTCTCCCAAAATGCCAGTATGCAAAGGACACTTGGGGCAGCCTCTCAACATTTTCTGCCTGACTGATATGCAGCTGATTTGTGGGATCTGTGCTACTCGTGGGGACCACACCAAGCATGTCTTCTGTTCCATTGAAGATGCCTATGCTCAGGAAAGGGATGCCTTTGAGTCCCTCTTTCAGAGCTTTGAGACCTGGCGTCGGGGAGATGCTCTTTCTCGCTTGGATACCTTGGAAACTAGTAAGAGGAAGTCCCTACAGTTACTGACTAAAGATTCAGATAAAGTGAAAGAATTTTTTGAGAAGCTACAACACACGTTGGATCAAAAGAAGAATGAAATTCTGTCTGACTTTGAGACCATGAAACTTGCTGTTATGCAAGCATATGACCCAGAGATCAACAAACTCAACACCATCTTGCAGGAGCAACGGATGGCCTTTAACATTGCTGAGGCTTTCAAAGATGTGTCAGAACCCATTGTATTTCTGCAACAGATGCAGGAGTTTAGGGAGAAAATCAAAGTAATCAAGGAAACTCCTTTACCTCCCACTAATTTGCCTGCAAGCCCTTTAATGAAGAACTTTGACACTAGTCAGTGGGAAGACATAAAACTAGTTGATGTGGATAAACTTTCTTTGCCTCAAGACACTGGCACATTCATTAGCAAGATTCCCTGGAGCTTTTATAAGTTATTTTTGCCAGTTCTTCTGCTTGGCTTTGTCATTTTCTTTGGTCCTACCATATTCCTAGAATGGTCATTATTTGATGACCTGGCAACTTGGAAAGACTGTCTTTCAAACTTCAGTTCCTATCTGACTGAATCAGCCGATTTTATAGAACAATCAGTTTTTTACTGGGAACAGGTGACAGATGGGTTTTTCATTTTCAGTGAAAGATTCAAGAATTTTACTTTGGTGGTACTGAACAATGTGGCAGAATTTGTGTGCAAATATAAACTATTATAAAATCTGTTTCAATATATGTAGTTCTGTCTTTTGTTAGAAATTGTTGGAGAATAGATAGTAGTAATTCAGATTTGGTCAATGGTTGTAGTCAGATATTTTCCTCCAAAAGTATTCCTTCCAAAAATAATGTCCTATACTGTTCAAATTAGGTAGCATAAAGAGAAAAGTGAAATTTAGTAGTGTAAACCTGAACCCTTTGTTTGGATATAGAGTCTTGCACTGCTGCCTGGGTTGGAATGCAGTGACATGATCTCAGCTCACTGCAACCTCCACTTCCCAGGTTCAAGTGATTTTCCTGCTTCAGCCCCTTGAGTAGTTGAGATAACAGGCGCCTGCCACCATACCCAGCCAATTTTTTTTTTTTTTTTGTATTTTTAGTAGAGATGGGGTTTCACCATGTTGGCCAGGCTGGTCGCAAATCCCTGACCTTGTGATTCACCTGCCTCGGCCTCCCAGAGTGCTGGTATTACAGGTGTGAGCTACTGTGCCCGGCCATGAACCCCCCCTTTTTTTTTAAAGAGTGCTTTTGAAATAAGCATCCACCTCAAATATTGATTTTATTTATGCTGTGATAAAAATAGGTGAGAGATCATATGATCTGATATTATATTGATGAGGTATAAGTAGTATAATAGTGATTGTTCAAGCATGCAGTAAAGACTACTCTTTTTTTTTTTGAGATGGAGTCTTACTCTGTTGTCCAGGCTGGAGTGCAGTGGCGTGATCTTGGCTCACTACAACCTCTGCCTCCCAGGTTCAAGCAATTCTGCCTTAGCCTCCTGAGTAGCTGGGGCAACAGGTGTGTGCTACCATGCCTGGCTAATTTTTTGTATTTTTAGTAGAGAAAGGGTTTCACCGTGTTAGCCAGGATGGTCTCGATCTTCGGCCTCGTGATCCACCATGCCCAGCCAAAGACTACTCTTAAAGCACTTTTTTTTGGACAGTGAACATGCTGTAATTAAATATATTGTAGAAGATTTCACACACACACACATAGACAACTGAAGATACTAATGAATTAGATTTCCAAAACTTTCTACAGAGAGTTAATTCTTTATCTCCAAAATGTGAATGTACATACAAAACCTGGCATTTTCTTGTGATAAGTTTACATTTTTAGGAGAGTGGAGCTTTCAGTCTGCCCTTTTCTGCTTTTTGTAGTTTTCACTGAAGATCAACTAGAAATGTTAGGTGGGTGTGCAAGCAAAAGCATAGATAGGTTAAAGAAAAGATTAGTGGCTGGGTATGGTAGCTCATGTCTGTAATCTCAGCATTCTGGGACACTGATGTGGGAGGACTGTTTTAGGCTAGGAGTTCCAGTTTGAAACCAGCTTAGTAAACATACTGAGACCCAATGTACCAAAAAAAAAAAAAAAAAAAAAAAAAAAAAAAAAAAAAAAAAAAAAAAAAAAAACCTCTCTCAAACACATGGCAAGAGGAGGAAATGGGAAGACTACCTTTTCTCTGGCAGCTACGTGTTTTGTTTCAAAGATGGCAACTGTACAACCAAACCACTTGCTTACAGAAACAATGTTTAGTAAGACTAATTTCAAAACAGATGAAACAGTCTGTCAGCTATTACAAATTAATCAGCTGAACATTAATGCTGTTTTCTGCTATATGAGATGAAGATTCTCTCATGGAATAAAAAAACACGTTGCTTAGATTTCATATAACAAAGAACTAACCTTATAACTGCTCTCTAGTCTGCCTTATTTCTGTCATACAGTAAGATATTCCTTGAAAGCCCATTAAGTAGAATACTTTCTGAAAATAGAGATATTTACCTCAGTCTTCCTTTAATTTGGTTGAGAGGAGGTAATAAACATGGGGACAGGATAAAAGGTGGCAACTAAATTTAAAGCACAGAAGAAATTATTTCCTTCTAGCTATGAGAAGTGTAGAATTGAGCTTGCCAGAAGAAGTAATGACTGTCTCGTTCCTAACACATAATTCGTGATTTAGCCACTAAATTGCTAAGGAGATCATCGTTTAACCCCTGCATAGTAGACAAGTATGGGGAGGGAGAAGTGCTTTTCCCCTCCCAGTAATTTTAAAGTGTGTGTCTGTGTGTGTGTGTGCGTGTGTGTAGTTTACCAGGTTTTCATGGAGAATTTTTAAAAATGGAAGACAGGAAAGGAATCTATTTGATGTATATCTTCAGACATATTGGCAGTTTTCCTTAAACTATTTCGTTCCTCATCTGTTGCTTTTTCATTTTGTATACTGCAAGTTCCCAGGCAACTCAAATTTGCACACACAGCTATGGATACACTATTTACCTTACAGTAGTTACCTGGGAATCTAAGTCTCTGGTTTTTGTTATTCTTTCCTCCCCTCCGTTGTGTAATCATATATAACTAGCAACACTTACGGTAGGTTGATTTCCTAAGTGTCGCTGATGGTAGCCTCTAGTGTGAAGTGAGGGAAGAATAAGTAGTCAGGAACTGGTCACTTTGAATGTGGGAGGAAAGATATTCACAACAAGGTTTTCTACGATAAAGCAGTTTCCTCCTTGGTTAGCATGCATGTTAGATGGCAGAGACCAAGAATTCAAGATGGTTGGTGGCCAGATTTTTGTAGACAGAGATGGTGTTTTATTTAGTTTCATCTTAGATTTTCTGAGAACTCACCAGTGTTTATTACCCACTAACTTTTCAGACTATCTTAGGCTTCAAAGAGAGGCTCTTTTCTATGAACTTCATTCTCTGGTTGATCTCTTAAACCCGTACCTGCTACAGCCAAGACCTGCTCTTGTGGAGGTGCGTTTCCTAAGCCAGAACACTCAAGATTTTTTCAGGGTGTTAGGCTCCTGCAGCAAAACAATTGAGATGCTAACTGGGAGGATTACAATGTTTACAGAACAACCTTCAGCACCAACCTGGAGTAGTAACTCTTTCCGTCCTCAGATGACATTACTTCCACTGCCTCCACAAAGACCTTCTTCCATGACCTGGTTTTCCAGTGCAGCTCTGACAGCACTACTGATAACCAAACTGGAGTCAGGTATTTTGTACTTTGCAGTATCCCTCTTGTATATCAGTTTGTGATGTTTCCCTCAAAATTTGAAGTTTCTCAGGACTGCAACTTCTCCTGTAAAAGATGATTATTCAAAAAGGCGGAGGTTGCGGTGAGCCGAGATCGCGCCATTGCACTCCAGCCTGGGTAACAAGAGCGAAACTCCGTCTCAAAAAAAAAAAAAAAAAAAAAAAAAAAAAAAAAAAATCATGTTTTGGGGTAACCAGTGGAGTTGGAAATGACCAAATAATTAATTTTCCAAACTGGGATAAGTTTTAGAATGAAAAGGGCTATTAAGTGGGACAAAAGGAATAAATGAAGACTGCCTAGAAAATACTGGGACTATGGACATTCAAATCATGGGAGAAAATAATTTTATAGATTATGTTCCATTGCTAATGAATTGGACTTAGAAAAGAATTGCCTTATATTTAAGAGATTCTTTCAGTGGTTCACATAAAGTAAAGGTTCGCTCACTGGTTTCTCTTGATTTCTTAAACACTATATAATTTGTTCTTTCAGTTCTTATGATTCAACTACTGTTTTTTCTTCAGCTGACTTTATTTTTAAACACCCTTAAAGACAGATATATCTCATGGCAAATTTGGTATCCTGTTACAGCCTTGGCTCTTAAACAACTCAAAATATTGGGATAGGCTGTCAGTATGTTAAGGATAGTTGCTCCTCAGTTAATTCTTTACTTTCTCCCTCTGTTGTTCTTGGCTGGATCCTAAGGCTGATTTCCACTCTGCTGTCACAAACATTTCTTCCCCCTGTAAAATGTCTTAATGCTGTCCTACCATTATTTTACCAACTGTGAAAGCTGGCTTTAATTCTTAGGAGGAAAAGAAAATCCTGCATGTGTTCTTTATTGGTAGCATTTAAAATATACTTTTTTTTGGGTAAAGGTAGCCATATTTTAAAATATTTTCTTAACTTCAGCAGTAACCAACAGGAAGGATACCAGTGTCTCTCTTATCAACACATCCTTTGGTCTTGCTTACCAACTGGAGGACACTAGATAATATAACCGAGTATGACAATTCTTAAGTGTTTACATTTTATAACTTCCCTCCTTCCAAAGAGGTTGAAATATTTTGGGGAAAAAAGAACTAGCTAAGCTAGCAGGCTGATTGTGAAGAAAACCTAATGCCTTATCTTTATCTCAGACCTCTGTACAACTTTATTATCATTGATGGGATACTTAAGAAAATGATCAATTTTTTTGTTTTTAAAATTTGAGTGATTATGACCTCTTTGGGGATCATGCTTCAAAAAGTCAGAAACCTAAAGAAAAAAAGTGTCATTGATTTTAAGAAGAAACACACTAGGTCAAAAGAAGATGTCCTGGAAATACGAAATACTCTAAAAACCATGAATTTGGAGAAAGTAATTGTTACTTGAAAAACATGACTAGAAACTAAAACTGGGATTTTCCTGTGTGTACACAGTGCCAAATGGTTTCCCCTTTTTATGTGTTTGTGTTTTAGAAAGAGCACAAAAGTTTTTTCCATTTTAATGTAAGAAAGACATTATATTTAGACTTCCATAATTCAAAACCAGAAGCTATTTTAAAATTAGCATGTTCTTGCATCACCAAATGGTATTCAATTGTTTGAAGCTCAAAATTTTTTCCATAAATGTTTGTCAATTTTTAGACAGTGCCAATTTAAAAGTGGAGATAGCCAATCTGAATACAGTGACATTATGGGTATCTCCAGTGATTGGGATGAAAACTCTGGCCTTAAAAGGTCCACCTGTAGTATATAATTGCCTAGTTAGTAATAATTTTTATTTTTCGCTCACTCCCTGGTCTAAATCTGTCTATTCAGATATTTTTGGAAGGTTTGGAAAATGGAGAAGTGAGCCTAAATGGTGCCCAAGTGTCTGGTGTATCATTCACCTTATTCAGTTTGTGCCATCAATATGATTTACCACTCAAGGTTATCCTAGCAGGTTGCTCTGTTATTATCTCTCAAGTTCACAGTACTAGAAGTACTTCACTTGCATCTTTCAGATGGCCATTAATGTGATACCACGTTATCAATCTCAAGTTATGGTTGGCCACAGGATTCTAGAGTCTTTATTTGACTTCTCCTTTTTGAACTGGCTCAAATGGAAAAGTGTAGTTGCTTTTAAATTTTAAAAATAAGTTTAGACTTTCTATTTCCCATTGGTTTCTTCTATTCTGTCCTTTCTTTGTGTGCCCTGAAATCTTTTTATTTTTCAATTTGTTCTCAAAGGGAGTCAAGTATTTTAGTTGGTGATTTCTTTCAAGTACATTCCACTTTGTTACCACCTACTATCTGTATATACTATTTGTATCTGAATTCTTTTATGAGATGCTCTGTAACTTTTTTTCTCTTTGACAAACATTTCTAGACTATACAGTCAAGATCTGGGGCTTGGGGGTAAATGAAATGATTTGCTAATATTGAGAATCTGTTGTATCAAACATAATAAACATTTTTTGAGATGTGCTTTGCAGTTTGATAATTTTTAGATTTTACTATTGGTTTCTTTGCCTAGAATGAGTTTCTAAATGTAAGCTACAAAAACCACTCTACTTCAAGCATGATCATCAGAAGGTTAGGGATGTCCTCAAGCATCCTTTTATCCCTTAAAACTACAGATAGTTTAGGTTTCTGTTTGAACTAATCTAAGTTAGCCTTTTCTTTTGAGACAGAGTCTCACACTGCTGCCCAGGCTGGAGTGCAGTGGCATCATCTCAGCTAACTGCAACCTCTGCCTCCTGGGTTCAAGCAATTCTCCTGCCTCAGCTTCCCAAGTAGCTGGGATTACAGGCATCCCCACCATGCCAAGCTAATTTTTTGTATTTTTTTTGTGGCGGGGGGGACAGAGTCTTGCTCTGTGGCCCAGGCTGGAGTGTAGTGGCATGATCTCAGCTCACCACAACCTCTGCTTCCCAGGTTGAAGTGATTCTCCTGCCTCAGCCTCCCGAGTGGCTGGGAATACAGGCATACAGCATCATGCCCAGCTAATTTTTGTATTTTTAGTAGAGACGCAGTTTTGCTATGTTGGCCAGGCTGGTCTTGAACTTCTGACCTCATGATCTGCCCACCTCGGCCTCCCAAAATGCTAGAATTACAGGCGTGACCATTACACCCAGCCTAAGTTAGCCTTTTCTTCATATCTTATAAACAAATGGTGGGAGGACACAAAGAGTTTTATGAAAACATCTTTCATGGCAGATAAGGAAGGAGTCAAAAGCTGTTCCATGCAGATGTGTTATGCTGACAATATTAAAGGCAACAGATAGCTAATCTGAAACGTTCACGTGCATTTTTCTTGAATTGGTTTTGTGTACTACATTGATTCTGTGGAGCAGCTCAGGGAATAGATTTTGCTCTTTCCACTCCAGAGGCTTTTGTACTTCTTTTTTTTTTCCCCCTGAGATGGAGTTTCACTCATTCACCCAGGCTGGAGTGCAGTGGTGCAATGTCAGCTCACTGTTACCTCCACCTCCTGGGTTCAAGCAATTCTCCTGACTCAGTCTACCAAGTAGCTGGGTTTACAGGCACCTGCCACCACACATGGCTAATTTTTTGTATTTTTAGTAGAGACAGGGTTTCACCATGTTGGCCAGGCTGGTCTTGAACTCCTGACCTCATGTGATCTGCCTGCCTCGGCCTCTCAAAGTGCTGGGATTACAGGTGTGAGCCACTGCACCTGGCTTTTGCATTTTTTTTTTTTTAAAGTAGAGATGGGGTTTCACCATGTTGGTCAAGCTATTATCAAACTCATGATCTCAAGTGACCCAGCCACCTGCGCCTCCCAAAGTGCTAAGATTATAGGCGTGAGCCACCGAGGCTGGCCCAATCCAGAGGCTCTCAACCCCAAGTCGTGCTATTTGACAATGGAAAGTTATTGCATAAAAAGTGACAATAAAAATCTTGACATTCTATATCTGCAAAATTTCACCTGAAGAAAAAAGAGGTGGATTTGATAGGAATAAGTTCACAAAGAAAAATCTATAATGTCAGTGCTAACAATTGATAAGACTAGATCTGGAGAGGAAATTGTAAGTGCACAGCATCCATTAAAATGTTTGATTCAATCAACTAATTAAAAGTAGCAAATTCAAAACAAAATTGAAAAGTTACATAAAAAAATAAGACAATTGTTTGATCAAACTGTTTTCTTTAGAAAATAATCTCTCAAATTGATGAGTGTTGGTTTACTTCTAAATATGGAATTGAAATTACTTTCAAAATCACAGCAAGGTCTCGATTTTCAGCACCTGAAATTATTGATTTGGATTTTTCAATTAAATCTCAAAAAAAAAAAAAATCTGTCTTGAGATGGTATGATGCCTGTAAGGTTGTAAGTAAAATTTATGTGTGTAGTTTTGCTAGTTATTAAAGGGATGCATTATAATTAAGCTTTTTCTGTGTCCTAGGTATGTTTCTATAAAATCTGATAACCGAAAATTGGCCAATGGAACAAATGTCCTCGGCTTCTTGATTGACACTGTATTATAGGAAGGCTTTCGTTTGGTCAGTACTAGAACAGTATCCTCTGAAGACAAAACTGAATACTATAGCTTTGAAAGGATTAAAAAGCCCTGAAGCACTCATCATCAATGAAACACCAAAATCAGAGACTATCATCATACCAGAATAATCTCAGATAAATAAATGAAGTTGTCTGTTCTCTTTTAAAGAGAAATTTCCATTTTTCTTGTTTCATTACATATTTAGGGCATACATGTTAGCCAAATCTATACTCAGGCCTAACTCTTGGCTTCATCTGCTACCATGCAGTCTCTGGGCAGCCAGGCCCCAACTGTGCTTAAGCCATAATGATTGCTGCTCTCTAGACAGCTCCATGTAGTTGGTGCTTTGATATATGTCCTACCTTCAATATATCTTTCCATTGTTCTTCTTCATGAACACTTACGAGCAAAGATTACACCACTGCACTCCTGCCTGGGTGACAGAGCAAGATCTGTCTAAAAAAATAAAAAAATAAAAAAAAAATGATCAAACTGATGGATACCCTAAGTACCCTGACTTGATCATTACATATTCTATGCATGTAACAAAATATCACATGCACCCCATAAATATGTACAAATATTACATATTTGTAATATTTGTTGGGCTTCCCATATTTTCTCACTTATGTTTGTTTCAGCATGTTTTTATCACTCACAGTTTCATTTCTGATAAGGCATCAAAGATTTATTTATTTAATACTCTTTATATAATACTCTGTCACCAGGCTGGAGTGCAGGAGTTGGAAGATGTAGTGAGTTTTGGCGTAATCATAACTCACTGCAGCCTCAAACTCCTGGGCTCAAGTGATCCTCCCACCTCAGCCTCCCAAGTAGCTGGGATTACAGGTGCACACCACCATGCCAGGGTTATTATTTTTTACTTTATGTAGAAACCAGGTCTCACATGTTGTCCATAATCCTGGCCTCAAGTGATTCTCCCACTTTGGCCTCTCAAAGCACTGGGATTACAGGTGTGAGCCACCATGCCTAGCCAAGGCACCAAGATTTTAGCTTATGATTCTTGAACCTCAATAATGTACCTTATAAGTGATTAGAAGTTCTCCCTACAAACATTTTCTGAAAAAGAGCTCTAATGCTTAATTACTCTTGCATTTAATATACAAGTGGTAATTACAAAGAGTTCTTAGGGTATGGTAAAGTTAAGATTAATTTAGACTTTTATTTGAGACGGGGTCTCTGTTACCCAGATTGGAGTGCAGTGGTGCGATTTCAGCTCACTGCAACCTCCACCTCCCAGGCTCAAGCAATCCTCCCATTTCAGCCTCCTGAGTAGCTGGGACTACAGGCACGTGCCACCATTCCTGGATAATTTTTTGTATTTATGGTAGAGATGATATTTTACCATGTTGTCCAGGCTGGTCTCGAACTCTGACCTCAGATGATCCGCCCAACTCAGCCTCCCAAAGTGCTGGGATTATAGGCATGAGCCACTGTGCCTGGCCTATTTGGGCTGCTTTAAAAATGTATTTGAAATTAGGAGCCTGAAGTAGTATCAAATGGTCACAAGAAAGCAGCTTGAGAAATACATGGTTTAGGGAATCATAATCTGTTTTTAATTTCTCCTATATACCATTTTCAACTGACAAACTTCAGCTCTGCTTTATAAACTTTTGCACTGATGCTCTATCATAAATCACAGAAATGTTCGTATCAATAGAGAATTATCCCACTAGAGACTATGCTGGGGTAATAAAAGATTTGCTAAGAGTACTCAATCTCCTATATTTTACTATTTTTCCTCTGTGCTAGGAAAGTTGACTATTTAGCAAGTTACACTGCAAGTGTGAGGAAATTTTCAAAAATAATTTACGAAAATTTATGAAATTTTATTACCTTCCTGGAGCCAAAGGACCCATGGGAGAAAGCAGACTTAGCATATTTTTTTAGACAGAGTTTCACACTTGTTGCCCAGGCTGGAGTGCAATGGTGTGATCTTGGCTCACTGCAACCTCCACATCCCGGGTTTAAGCAATTCTCCTCAGCCTCCCAAGTAGCTGGGATTACAGGCATGCGCCACCAATGCCCGGTTAATTTTTTACTTTTAGTAGAGATAAGGTTTCTCCATGTTGGTCAGGCTGGTCTTGAACTTCCGACCTCAGGTGATCTGCCCACCTTGGCCTCCCAAAGTGCTGGGATTAAAGGCATGAGCCACCTCACTTGGCTGCCCAGACTTAGCATTTCTAAACAAATGCTCAGAAATAGAGGAAATTTAAAATTACAAAAAAAAAAAAATACTTAGATTTCTGGAATATCAATGACCTAGTAAAAAACACAAGTACTGGGCTGGGCGTGGTGGTTATAATCCCAGCGTTTTGAGAGGTCAAAGAGGGAGGATCCTTGAGCCGAGGAGTTTGAGATCAGCTTGGGCAACAGAGTGAGAGCCCCATCTCTATTTGAAAACAACATTAACAACAACAACAACAACAACAACAAACTCCAAAAAATCGCAATTACCAGCTTTGCTATAGAACTATACCTCAAGACTTATTAGGATTTCTGGCCAGGTGTGGTGGCTCATGCCTGTAATCCCAGCACTCTGGGACACCAAGGTGGGCGAATCGTCTGAAGTCAGGAGACCTGCCTGGCCAGCGTGGTGAAACCCTGTATCAACCAAAAATTACAAAAATTTGCTGAGCATGGTGGTATGCGCCTGTAGTCCCCAGCTACTCAGGAGGCTGAGACAGGAGAGTCGCTTGAACTTGGGAGGTAGAGGTTGCAGTGAGCTGAGATTGTGCCACTGCACTCCAACCTACGTGACAGAGTGAGATTCTGTCTCAAAAAAAATATTACTAGAATTTCTGTTGGGCCTATTATAAAGGAAAAGTACAATTTTTTATGAAAAAACTCATCATCTAAAATGCCTTAATATTTAACTATGAGATAGATTCAATCACAAAAATATTTTCATGGATAAAAAGCTAAAGTCTCACATGGGTGAAAATGGAAAATGGATATTAAGCATGGCACAGAATAAAAAGAGAACTAAACATGTAGCAAAATAAATAAGACCTTGCTTCCAAAACTAAACTGTACTTAAGACTTGTTTAACCACACAACGGGTTTTAGGTAGGCAGTCTTCTGCACCTTCATATTTCACATCAACACCTCAAAATCCAGAAATCATTAAAACAAATGGCTTTTTATTTAAAAAATGGCCTTTTATCAACAGGGTAAAACATACCAAATAACTGTTTCTATTTCATATTATTATTTATCATTTCAAAACACTTCTGGAAAGAATGTGAATTTCTTTGGGTTCATGAGTATGAGGCCAAACAGGAGAGATTTATTTTACCCTTTTGATTTTGTTGTTGTTGGTTTGCGTTTTTTTTTTTTTTTTTGAAGCAGTATTTCACCCTGTCACCCAGCTAGAGTGCAGTGATGCTACAATGGCTCACTGTAACCTCAAAATCCAGAGCTAAAGCTATCCTCCAGCCTCGGTCTCTTGAGTACCTGGGACTACAAATGCATGCCACCATGCCTGGCTAATTTTTTCTTTTTGTAAAGATGAAGTCTTACTGTGTTGCCCAGGCTGGTGGGCTCAAGCAGTCCTTCCACCTCACCCTCCCAAAGTGTTGGGATTACAGGCATGTGCCACTACACCTGGTCTACCCTTTTTGTAACAAGAGGCCTCCAAAGAAATCTGGCTGCAATGTTTAAGGTTCCATGAGTTCTTTTAAGATGAGGACTGAGACTATGCTATAGTGGTCTTCATACTCCCCAACAGTGTTGTGCATCTAACAGGCTCAAGTGAGCTGAACTGAAACATTTGGAAACTATAGTCTGAGTGAACAGACACTCGGAAAAACAAGATTTATAGTAGATTCAAAGATGGATGAGGACAGTTTAAATAATACAGTCTGAAAGAGTTGACTCAAGTTACAGATTACAGAAAGTACCCCAGAGTATCTTCAATTAGAAGTTTACTTGGGTAATGCCACATGGAAATGAAATGAAAATATAAATGTTTATAGGGATATAAACTTGTTGCAAATTACACAAAATTGTACATTTAAAGAGTAAAATAGTCCAGTTAAAATTGAGAGATACCTAATTTGCTAAGAACAATGTAATGCTACGAGAGTGCTTAGCAATTAAAAAAACTAAGAGAATGTAAGTTCAAAATGAATGTCACATGACTATAATTGATAGTAAATCTTTACTTACCTCCATAACTTAGAAGTCATGAAAAGAAAGGAGAAGTTAGCAGACCAGGCAGGTAAGTCAGATGTAAATAGAATGGAAATACAAAAATATTCCCAGTTCTGGGTAACCCAATTTGAGGTCATAGGTTTACTGAATTTGGATTAATCAAGTGGTTCAAGAATTAAGGTAAAATGGTCTAAAAGATCCTGATATATCAAGACATATTACTGAGGTTTTACAAGACTAATTTGAAAATGCAGATTAACATTTTAAGGCTTCCTTACATATCATTAAAAAAGACCATATTAAAAATCAATTTCAGAAGTTGTTTTATGACTAGAATAAAAAAACAAGGACATAGAATAACATCGTATTTCTGTCTGATGCTGGGAGGCTATTTCTTATGGCAAGTAGTAACTGGGTAAACAGTGATACTTTAACTTTACAAATAGGAATCCTACAAAACAAGGTTTTGCTCCTAGAAAACCAAAATATTTGCTTTCAATTAATTTTCTAAAAATGGTTGCACTGGTCACTTTTTAAACTCCTACAATCTAAGCATCACTGAATTCCTATTTGATTTTTTTTGGCTAAAAGTTTTCTTCAGAAGCAAACCTGCTTTAGGGTGACAAAAAAGTTTCAGACCTTAGACAGAAACTTCATTTCCTCTTGTGTGTTTCTCCATCAAAAACAAGTATTCAAATAAGGAATCTCAATTATCTAAACCTATTTTTGGCCATCTTCCGGAATTTCTTGTTAAATCTCCTTTGAAATGCCACAGTTGCACTCTTGGAAAACTTGTCTTCCTGGTTTTCAAATTTCTGTTTATTATTACAGCTCTTCAGCTAGAATGCCAGGTCTTTGTGCTGTACTGTTTCTTGAAACTGGAGACTAGCACACTTCCCCCAATTCAATTACTTGCTTTCCATTTGAGAAATTAAAGCCATGTCAATTTTATAAAGTTTTAACTGACTGAATTATTTGGACTTTAAGTTCTCATTTTCATTCCCTTAGCCTAATACTGGGAAAGATCTTCGTTTTATTAAGAGAAGGTATGGTTCAAGAGTATTATTAACACATTTCAGTCATTGATTCTCATAGATGTTTTAAGTGCAGGGATTTTCTAACAGGCACAGGCTTGAGATACGACACTATAAAAAAAAAAGGTAGAGTTATTCAATTCTAAAAATGTCTAAGATTACATACCTAATGAAATTGTTTATTTACACAAATGTGTATTAGAAAGGGACCTACTGTCCTTCATAAAGAGCTTCAGTCAGCTTTTCTACCCTTATCAGCTTTATGTAACTGCCAAATTTACCTTTCCAGCCTGACTTTTACATGGAACTCCAGTTCTGTATATCCAGGGACCTTAAATGAAGGCATTTCAAACTTAATGTCTAAATATCACAAATACATTGCAAAAATGGGACACATTTCCCCTTAGTTTCCTTTTCTTTCTTCTCTTCTTTTCCTTACCTTTCCTTTCTCTCTTTTTTTTTTTTTTTTTTTGACAGAGTCTCTCTATCACCCAGGCTGCAGTGTAGTGGCAGGAGCCCCCACTGCCTGGGTTCAAGCAATTCTCCTGACTCAGTCTCCCGAGTAGATGGGATTACAGGCATGAGCCACCACATCCAGCTGATTTTTGTATTTTTAGTAGAGGTGGGGTTTCACCATGTTGGTCACGCTGGTCTCGAACTCCTGACCTCACATGATCCGTCCACCTCTGCCTCCCAAAGTATTAGGATTACAGGTGTGAGCCACAGCCTGGCCTTAACTACTTTCTTGCCTCCTTTTTTCTAGTGATACCGCCACTGTCTTCCAGTATAGAAAACGTATAATCTTTTACACCTCCAATTTATCCAACCCATCATGATGTTCAAAAATTTTTTCTTTGAAATATCTCAAATATATTATGTCACCACCATTTCTCATGCCACTATTGCTGTTCAGGTTTTCTTCACCCTTAGATTACTACAATAGTCATATGCCCAGTTTCCTTGCTACCATATTTTATTTCTTAGACATTTCTATATATAGCATTGCCACATTTAATTCCAAACAAGTCAACAGGCTATAATGCTCCCTATTCCCTGCTATATCAAGACTAAAATCCTCTAATTGGTTTTCCAGGCAAAGCTCAATAGCTTAGTTTTAACCTAGCTATGCAAATTCATGTAACCTTTGCTTCAGGTTTTATGGCACAGATCCCAGGTTACTTCTGGGGGAATGCTACGTTCAATTTTGGCTTAAATTCCTACGTACAATCCAGACAAGTCTATTACTTGACAACTCAATGCATCTTAATTTACAAGCATGCAGGCCACAAATTATAAAATGAAGACATTTTTACTGAGTCAGCAGAAACAACTGTTCAATTCTCCTGCAAGTCCCCAGAGTTACTTACAGTTTTCTGCTGAGGGGATCATCTCATGTGGCATTTATTGCCCTCTACTAAAGGGAGCTATTGGCGGACACTCTGCTCTGAACAGACGTCTGCTTCTGTTTCCAGTTTCAGTGCCTTCTCCACATGGTCTAAGTACCAGTCGTTTAGTCAGTTCTCACCTTTTTTGAGAGGAGGGTGGCAATGGTGATATCAAAATTTACACCTGGAAAACAGGTCATAAAGAAAATCAATATAGAAGGTAAAGTGCTTCACCACAGGAATTATTATTTAATTGCTGGTTGAATTCTTGGCTTTTGTTTAAAAGGTAAATATAACAAATATGTCAGCCACCCTCAAAGCCAAACCAAAACCAACAGCAACAGACTTTTCAATCAACGTAATTTATTCACTGAGTTCTAGAAAACAGACATAAATGTCCTATATAAATGCTATACAAGGATACATAAAAATGAATCCTTATTAGGACTTAAATGTCATAGCAGTAAACGAATAGTATTTATTTGATCCACAACTTTCTTTGCCTTCTTATATATTTTTTAACGTTTTGGTGTGACTTGCCTGGTTTGTTTCTTTTTGAAAGGCAGAGCTGGGAAGAGGAGGAAAGGCATTTGGTCTCTTATAAAACTGTCCACGAAAATTTATGAGAAAGCCTATATTACTCAGTAAGGTGACTCTAGTAAGTTCAGGCATTCAAAAACATCCCATTAATTTTAGAGTTACCTTAAAGAATTACAGCAAATCCTCAATGCTTTTATTTCTGTGATTATGATAATGGTGTTTCTTGAAAAATATTTTTAAATGTAAGGATTCTTTATACTACTACCATTTCCTATCTCCTCAGAGATACACAAATAAGGCCAAAAAATAACATTTAAACTTTATAGAATTTCACACTTCATTGGAAAGGTTAGAAATTATCAATTAGATCACTAATAATCCCCAAAAAGATATAGAAATTTTATAGGTCTGATTATTCATACCCCTACCCACGTTTCTGGTTTTGGTGGAAAAAAAATGATATTTTAAGGTACCTGAGACCTGAGGAATGAATGTTAATAGCTGGCATAGAATGAGAAGAGCTCTGGTCAGTGAAGTAGTAAAAGGTAGAGCACTCCTAAATTACCTGGAAATAACCTGCATATTTCTATATTTGCCTAGCTGGTATGTAGCCTTTCTACACTTTACCATGAAGGTATTACTGCTGATTTTCAGCATCAATGGTCACTTGTTTAACACCCACTATGTTTAAGACACTAGGCTAGTCTTGCAGAATATACAATAAAGAATAAGATGGCCCCTTCCCATAAGGCAGCATGTATTTGTTCTAAGTCAGGTATGGAAGCTTTGAGAGAAATGGTATTTTTGGCTGAGGAGGAAAAGTGAACTGGAAAAACTTCATGTAGGGGGTAAACAGCCTAAGATTTAGACAACTAAAGATGAGTAAAAGGACATTCTAGTAGTAAATAACGTGAGCTAAGGCTTAGATGAAAATCTGAGCGAGGTTTGAAAAAATATTATTTCTCTTTGGTTTAACAACAGTATTACGGTATTCATACACAATTATTATTATTGTGCTAAAGTCACTTATTCCCATAGTGGTAAAGTCAATCTTACCTAAGGCAAAAAATATCCTAGCTAGCAGCATTTTTCCTAGGCAACCCTTTCCTTTCAAGATTTCTCACCTGATTTGCTGAGTTAAAAGCCACAGAACCCCAATTATTTAAGGTAAACTTATTTATGCCTAGGTTTCCTTCCAGTATTTCTTACAAGTTTTTGTTTTCTTTTTTTTCTTCAAAGCAACATACCGTGGCTCTTGAAGGGCTGCAGGCAATCTGAATACCCTTGTTTTCTTTGATTAGAAATGAGGGTACCTTATGCAAAGGAAGGAAAACAATCTCAAACATGGTTAGACTCATTTCCCTACCAATTCCCTAATATCTACTCTTTGCCTTCATTCTACTGTATCTACTCCTTCCTACTTCATCATGTCTTGGTTCATGTTGTTTTCTGCACTTGCAAGTTATCATTCCTTCATTTCACATAATCAATATTAACCATTTTTTAAGCCAAGCTCATCTTTCATACCTTTTTTTTGAGACAGAGTTTTGCTCTTGTTGCCCATGCTAGAGTGCAATGGTGCAGTCTCACTCACTGCAACCTCCGCCTCCTGGGTTCAAGTGATTTTCCTGTCCCAGCCTCCCAAGTAGATAGGATTACAAGGGCACACCAACACACCCAGCTAAATTTTGTATTTTTGTAGACATGGGGTTTCACCAGGTTGGCCAGGCTGGTCTTGAACTCCTGACCTCAGGTGATCCACTCGCCTCAGCCTCCCAAAGTGCTGGGATTACAGGCATGAGCCATTGCACCCAGCCTCATCTCCGCTTATAAGTCTTCTCTGATAAGTCCACATTTCCTTTGAGCTTCTACCACACTTCAGGTTAGCAAGCCAGAGATTACATTCCATTATTCTCCACTTGTTTATTGTATGTTAGTATAATATTCCCATATAGGTTAACAGTTCTTTGCTGGCAGGGACCATCTTTTATAGACTATAGTGAAGTACTGGGCCTAGAATAGGCCCTTAATAATAAAGATAATGTCACTTTAAAAACACAAGCAGAGGCCAGGTGCGGTGGCTCATGCCTGTAATCCCAGCAATGGCAGGCTGAGGTGGGCGGATCACCTGAAGTAGGGAGTTCGAGACCAGCCTTAGTAACACAGAGAAACCTTGTCTCTACTAGAAATACAAAATTAGCTTGGTGTGTTGGCACATGCCTGTAATCCCAGCTACTGGGGAGGCTGAGGTGGGAGAATCTCTTGAACCTAGGAGGTAGGGAGGGTGTAATGAGCTGAGATTGCGTCATTGCACTCCAGCCTGGGTAAAAAGAGCGAACTCGGTCTAAAAAAAAATACCTAAATAAAAATTTAAAAATAAAAATGCAAGCAGAAAACACGGCATTTAAAAGTAGTATTTTAACAATAACTTATTGATGAAATAAAACTATATTCATTCTTCTTTTCAGAATTTGAAACCTCAAATTATCACCACCTCAGATCATCATGCTATTAAAAAGTAGATCTGCATATGAATGAAACTGTCCAACTCCATCACTTATACAGAACACGGTCATGAACAAAAGCAGCAGTCATTCTTGATAACCCAATCCCCTCTGAACCAAACAATTTCTGGCAGTAGGAGAGATTTACAAGCACATAGCCTCGCTAACAACTAATAGGTTATAATGGAAAAGGTTTGTAATTTTAGTCCTTTAGAATGTACATCTTTAAAATGCATAGGGAAATCATAAATACAATGTAATTTTGTTCCATTTGGAATGAAGTAAAATTTTGCTTAAAGAAAATAAAATTATTCAAGTTGAAGCTTTAGTTAACCTGCATTAGTCACTAGCACTCTACTCAAAAAAAATGTTGATCTTAGGAAAAATTGTAATCAAACATCCTTGGCTTAAAATTCATTCAGCACAATTTTTAAAACCTCTATACCCGTATCACATAATACACAGTAGTTCACCCTTATCTACAGGGTATACATTCCAAGACCGCCAGTGAATGCCTGAAACTGTGGAGAGTATGAAACTTTATATATACATGCTATGTGCTTTCAAATACATATATACCTATGATAAAATTTTATTTATAAATTAGGCACAGTAAGATTAAGAATAATAGTAAATAAAATAAAACAATTTAACAAAATGCAAGCATCACTACTCTTGCACTTTGGGGCTACTATGAGTAAGTTACTTGAACACAAGCACTGCCATCCCAGGACAAAGGATCTAATAACCATGATGGCTACTAAGTAACTAAAAGGCAGGTAGTGTCTATAGCATAGCATAGATACAATGGAAAAAGGGATGACGGACTTCCTAGGCAAGATGGTGCAAGATTTCATCATGCTACTCAGAATTACGCACAATTTAAAATCTAAGCATTGTTTATTTCTTGAGCTTTTCCATTTAGTATTTCTAGGCTTCAGTTGACTGCATGTAACTAAAAATGTAGAAAATGGGAGACACTACTGCATTGTATAAGACTGGATAATAAGGTACATCTTTATTTATAAAATGTAATAATATTCAACATACTTTTTTTTTTTTTTTTTGAGATGGAGTTTCACTCTTGTTGCCCAGGCTGGAGTGCAATGGCGCAATCTTGGCTCACTACAACCTCCTCCTCCTGGGTGCGATTCTCCTGCCTCAGCCTCTGAAGTAGCTAAAATTATAGGCATGTGCCACCATGCACGGCTAATTTTGTATTTTTAGTAGAGATGGGGTTTCTCCATGTTAGTCAGGCTGGTCCCAAACTCCTGACCTCAAGTGATCTTCCCGCCTCAGCCTCCCAAAGTGCTGGGATTACAGGTGTGGGCCATAAGCCCAGCCAAGATAGTTTCTACAATGGCAAAGTTAAATACAATTTCCAGAATTCTAAGATGATACTGAATTTTCCACATAAATCTACGAGTTTATATTTGTTTCTGTCTGCTATTTTAAGTAATATGTCAGTGTACTAAATATTTGCAAAATGAATATATTGAAGGCTGCCTTTTAGTATTATAAAAATTTGTGACAAGACAGGGCCAAGTTCAATATCTTACTTAAAATTTAAAGGCTTGGAGAAAGACAGTAACTTGCTTAAGGTCTCCCAACTAAGCAATGGTAGAGCCAATTTTCAAGTATTTGAATCTGATCATAATTAACTTATCTGGGATAGAAACAGTTTAAGCTTCTGTTTCACTGTCATTCCTCTGGCAAAGTTACCGAGCTACCTAAAATACTTCTTTAGCATAATATTCAGAAATACAAATTTTATTATAGCACATTATAACCTTTTATTTCTGCTTCATTTCATGGCCTTCTAAACCTGTGGGTAAGCTTTAGCTTCTTGTACATGCTCAATTGTTATCTTAATAAAATGTATCCCAATGACACTGAAGAGACTAGTAACAGAGGCAAGTGCCTCGGAACAAAGAGACTTGTTGGATGAATGAATAGCTGTACACACATAACTGAGAAGTAATAAACGTTTCATTGTTCGAGACTTTAAAAATGAGGACAATGCAGAAAATAACTTATAGATTCTCAACATGAGCATCATCAAATTAATCTAATGAACATTTTCACTTATAATTTGTATTTTCACTTCATTTTGCATATTATTCTTAATTATCCTATGAAT